TGTAGGTCTGTTCACCACTACCCCATAATGGCCTGAAGTCTATGCTGTCTCTGTTTTCATCTAGTTTTCCTGCTATGTGAATGGCAATTTTTGTCTACAAATAAATATGGGAATTTGTATGAATGTAACATTTCCTGTAAGGAAACTTTGTGTAGTTTTCTAAATTGTAAGAAACAAAGTCTTGTTCTAGCACAACAGACTTTATTTCCTGTATGCTCGCAGTGAAGTCCCTTGTGAGTCCTTAGAGTATAAAGGAAACAGTTATATTAAGTTGGCTTCATGACAGTTTGTACTCCACAGTCTTCCAAAACCCCCAAAGCATTAAACCAGTATCATTTTTCCTCTGGGCTTGTCAAAGCTGTCCTTATAATCTGTAGTGCACCTTTCGAAAATTGTTGCTCTCTTCTTAAGATAAATAAAAAAGTGACAAGTGTCATGCTACAGGCACAGTACTTACAGATTTAAGAAGTACTTTCTTCAAAGCTTGTGTGCGAAAATCCTTAGCGGGTTTACATCACGGAGAGCAAACTGTCACTTGGGAAAATTGAACTGGTTCAAGCTCTAAAATATAGAAAAGAGGAAAAAAAAGTGTTACTGTCAGTAATAGGGGAAGGAACAGAGTTTCCCTGTCTTTTCCTGATAGAGTGAATTTGACTTTCAGTATATCCTGTTTTCTCATTTTCAGCACCTTACTTTCAGCAGTACAATACGCACTTAAGATTTTGTCATGGAAAATAGTATTCTGTACATTGGAACGACTTTTAAAAGGTATTTTGTTGGAGCTAAGCGTGTGAAAGTCTACTTTAGCATTTCCATTCATCTGGCAAAACGTAATTCTACACGCTGTTCCACCTATAAAGCAATATAAACACATCTGTCATCTGTACACACACAGAGCTATGTGTCTGGCTGCAGAAACATATACAAAGAAGAAAGCTCAAAGAAAAGTAGAAACGCTTTACAGACTGCCCAGCCTGACTCCGGTGAAGCCAACAGCAGCTCCTCGCGCTGCCGCAGGAGGAGACTCACTCTCTGAAGCCTTTTCCTCAGTGTTGGATGTCAAACCGTTGCAGGAGCTGTTCTGGTAGGGAACAGGGGCTGGAATTCGGCTGAACAGAAACGGTGGTTCCTGCTGTTAGGGAACGAGAGTCTAGAGGAAGAGTCTGCTTTATGCAGAAAATGGTTAGAAATCACCAGAAAACGTGATGCAGAAAACTACTGTCAGGGCGCTGCGGGGCCCTGTGGAGAAGCCAGCCATTATAACCTGTCCGACAGGCTTAATAATCCCCAGCGTAAGTAGAGTCCCTTGATGTGGTCACATGTGACTTCAGAACAGAGTTTTTGTGGTTTTTAACCTAGATTATGTCTGACATTAAAGAGCAGTTTAGAGTAAGTGGGAAGGACTCTCTGTGCAGTACATGCTCGGGTCCTTGAAAACGACCTGGCTGAAGTAAATCTGATGTGTGCAAGGGCTTTTTTTTCCCTGAACGGGAGCGAGGACTATCTTATCAGGACTTTCTGCACAGTTGCAGATAGTTTGGTAAATGGGAGAGACACTGGACTTTATTATGGCTAACGGTAGTTTATCTTAGCTTAGTCGTCTCTGCGCTGAATCTTGCTTTGAATCTTGTTTTCTGTTTTGCAAGGGAACTGGAGTAGAGGGGAATGAGGATGGAGACAGCCTCTTCCTCTGCTCCTGGTAAGGGGCAACAGCACAGGATCAACGCCCCGAGGCTTAGAGAAGCATGAGAAGAGAAAGGCAATGAATGCTTCCATTCATACACCACATCCCGTGCCTGAATAGCCCGCTGGCCTGGCAGCGAGGCAGACTCGTAGGCCGCCTCATCGGTAAACACAGCCAGGGCTCAAATGGCGCTGAGTTCACATGCTGCTTCTGTTTAGAGCAGAGCAGAACGTAGCCCATCCTCATCTTACTCGAGATTTATACCTCAGTGAAAGCATCGCTGGCTGCTTGGTTCCTCCCTTAGAGCCTTGCCCAGGGCAGGATTTTGGGGTTTGGTGCACTTTCAAACTGTGGGCTCATAAACTTGATGAGTCTGCCTTCGAACGCTGGGGAGTCCCAGGAATTTTCTTCGGCCTGTCACCTGCATGGCAACGACTACTGCGAAAGGAAAGCTCCTGCCTGTTCAGACTTGTAACCTCCCGTGTAAACGCTCTGAAGAGAACAGGAGATTTCTTCACAAGAGGCTGTTCTGAAAAACTGCAAGCCGTCTGATGTGGAGGAATCTTATTTTTAAGGACTTGGGAAGACTTTTTGCCTTTCCCTGCCAGCTTTTTGGGGGACCAAAGCTGAGAGAACCTCTGCCTGTGTTCCCCCACCAGCATGTTCTTTAATCTGTTTGGTCAACCTGGGAAACACAAGTTAAAACCGCTTATAAAGTTGTTTTTAATACGGATAACCAGCTATGAGAGAGTGGTACGGTACCCATTTCCCTATAGTTGTTGCTAGTTTCCTTACTGATTACTGGCTCCAGTGCCAGCTTGAGGTAAGGACACTTACTTTTCAGCAGTTCGTAATTAGTCTTAGCAAGTGAAAACTCGGATTAGAAATGACCCAGAAGTCTGTAAAGCTGAAGCAGCTACAACTATTCAGAAGAGCTCAGAAACAGAAAGATCACAGGCTAACTCTGACCAAAGCCTTCAACAAAACTCTGCATCGCAACCATGAGGGATGGATTCCTGGCTTGAATTCTCTTAAAGGAAGTTTTATTATCAACTAGATTGACTTTTCCTTGAAAACATTATCTCAAATAACTGCTAGTTCTCTCCAAAAGCACGGTGGAGCTGAAGTAAACTAGCATTTTGTTATTGAGTAGCTCTTATCTTTTGTTTTTAGTAAGTGGGTACAACCAAACTGTCATTGTTCTAGGGGAAAACTGCATTCTTCCTGCTCCCAGCTTGGAACAGAAAACAGCGCTCCCGGGGTCTATCCAAAGATTTAAAGGTCGCTGACTGGATTTCTTATGTTTAGATTCTTGGGTTTTGCTGTGTCCCATTCTTTCCCTTAAATATTACTATTGAGGCAAACACGTTTGCATTATGTACATGAGGGACGTTTGGAGTGAAACACGTTACCTCTTTTTTCTCCATTTCCAAAAGAGAAAAACATAGTATCTTACGGATTTAAATAAAAATAGGGAAGAATTATATTCTTAAAGAAAACAAATATGACTTTATGGAAATATCATCAAAATTGGCAAAGATTCAAAAGAGAACAGAAGGCATCCAGAAATTCCTTCCCTGAGTCCTAGCCTGGAAGCCAAATTCTAAATGAGTTTTAGTTATCAGGCTGTTTTATCTAGGTATGTATTAGTTGACAAACAATAAGTATTCAGAGCTGCTTTTCTTTTGACCTGGTTGTCTTCTAATGGAGAGTATATACTGTATGTACATTAAAAAACAGGTTAATTTTATTTTAGAAAAGGAGGAAGGGAAGATAAAAGAGAAGCGCCAGTTGGACTTTAATGAAATAACAGTATGAGAAGAAGGTTGACTCTTGATAAAAACAGCTTAGGAGATTATTTCCAAGTTGTGCTAGAAGAAAGCTAAACAGACTGATCTGAAAGCTAAACAGACTGATCTACTTTCAGCCAATGATTCGAATTTCTTACAACGCTGCAGTGTTCCAATACTTATAACTTCCAATAAAGTTACACTGTTCTGTAACATTTTGCAAGCCATTAAGGATTTCTGGGGGCAGTAGTCAAAGTCTCAAAAGTAACTTCTGAAGTTGTACTCACACAATTCTGCAGACATCTGTTTTTCATGCCAAAACACCCTGTCGTAACAGATGACAACGCCTTGAAACAAAAGATTCCTGTATACAAATCACACATTGACCATTTCAGAGATACAAATGCAAATCCTGTTTGTAAATTTAGCAGAAAGAACATAAACAGAACCAGTGAGACCATATTTTCCATCCTTTTTTCACCCTCAAATGAGCTTACCAGTGTGCCTTAGCCAATGTTCTTATCACAAATCACATCCAAGCAGCAGCCTCTTTTCCTGGGACAGGAGAGAAAGTAGGCTGTCTACGTGGAAGAGTATCTCAGAGGCAGTTAGGTGGTGGCACTTGCACAAAAACCTTTGCTTGCTTCAGCACCAAGTGGTACAATCCAACTGAACGCATTTTTGCCCCAGATGGCACAAAAGGCTTGCTGTCACCATTTCTCTCCAAGGGCTGCGTCTCCTACAGCTTCAAGGTGGAAAGGAAGGGTTTTAACAGACCCTTGCTAGATGTCTTCAGGGTTGCTCAAGCACGCTGCACACACAGTGCTTGTTTTCCCCCTCAAGTCACGTTTGTGTTGCCTTTCCCTCTACCGATCACACTTGAAACCAAGTCAGTGTGGTGGGCTGTGGAGTTACAGCGCGGCAGCAGGTACAAGCTGCTGATCTTACACTGCTTTTACTTCTTCTTTAAAGGAACTTTTGCTCTCCCGGCTGGAGGCACTGGGAGGGAACACAAGCGTATACAAGGACTGTAGCCGTGGTTCACTTCTGGTAGTTTGCAGTGGTGCGCTTAGTAAAAGCCTGACACAGATTACTGCTAGGTCAGGCATGTCAGAAACGTTGAAGCTTTAAAAAGTCATTTTCTTTGATTTAAAACTTTCTGTGCAAGTCAGAAACATACATTTTTATCTAACATGGGCTGTTTTAAGACAGTATATCAGGGATAAGCAATAAAATTATCTTCATAAACATTTTCTACAGCGGATTGCAATACCCCTCTCAACCTTGTATGGATAGAGCAGATTGCGTTCACATTGTCCCTGTAATGCATGTTACCTGTTTACTG